AACCAACAATTAGTTTGGCCCAGCCACTGCTCTGCCCACCTGGGGGTGTGGGGAGCCAAGGCGTGCACATCTTTCTCTTGTCAGCTCTTCATTATAGGAGAAATAGTTCTGCTTCTAGTTGGCCTGGGGATACTTTGCTATTCCCCTTTCTGATTGTCAGGTGCTGGGGATTTTCCTGCACTACAGGCAAGATCATTCAGTTCCTCACCACCAGCCAGCAGAGAATTTGTCCACCAACTCGATGGCTGCATGTACAGTCTGCTCTTTGGTTTCCTTATAGGTGTGTTCAGTTCACTCACCCACTCGTCAGAGGTTCAGGGCTCCAAATTGTTCCTCCATTCAAACTTTCTGAGTCTGTTGTTCAGGGCATGAGAGTAGCAAGTTTAAGTCACCATCTTTAACCAGAACCATGTTTTTGTTATTAATGGGTGTTTACAGCTATTTCTTCTCCTTTTGCCCCACCACCGAATGAAGGTTGAAAAAGCTTTGCTCATTCCATTTCATTAATGTTAACTCTACTTTGAGGCAGTTCTTCCCTAAATGTATTTGAATGTGTAATGCTTGCGGGACTCATTTTCTGGAACTGTATCAATGTTCTAAACTAATCATGTTTTCAATTATGGTGCCTTTGCCATGAGTCATGGGAAATGGCACCCAGCTTGTGCTGGCTTCAGGGCAATGACTGTGAGCTGCATTCCGGCCAAGGTTAAAGTTTCTTTCATCAATGGAAAGTTGGCATCCACGCCTGCAGGGGTGGGGGGTGCACTATGGAGAACTGAGAAGGTTATGGTGCTACCACCAAGGCAGGAACAAGGCCCTGTGCTCCAGATGGAGCCTGGGAACCCCCTGCTCTCAAGGCGAAGCCCTTGGTGCTCAAGGAAACCAGCCTTGTGGAAGCAGTGTGACCCAGGGAGAAGCAAGAACCCAGCACTGAATACACTGCACTGGAGCAGTGGAAGGACCAGGCTGGAAGCAAGGTGCCCACTTAACCACCCTCCTGAGCTGCTAGCCAAACACTGCCTCAACCACTTGCCCACTTCCTGTCTATGAAGTGGCACCACTTGCCTCTCAGAGCACCTGGGGGGTTTCCCAGCACACTGAAGGTGCACCTGATCCCCACCTTCACAGCTACATGCCTTTCTCTTCCATCATCCACAGGCAGGCAGACAAGATGCCCTGCTCTTGGAAGTTGCAGGGGAAGCTGATGGACACACCGGATATGCTTATCTGCTGTGGTGAGGCTCTTCCAGAGGGCTCTCTGAAGGGAGTAAGTGGAGCCCCTTGAGGAGGCAGCTGCCCAAGGGCAGCTCTGGAGTCACTGTGATCACCTGCTGCTAAAGGAGCTGCTCTTCTCTGCTCCTGGGAGATCCTGTACTTACCCTTCTTCCCCAGTCGTTCTGAAATGCATTGACATTTTCTACAGGGTCCCAGAGACATTAGCAATGGTGCATTTTGTCTTGGGTTTTTGTTGTAGAGTTTTTATTGGGATTTAGGTGAAAATATACAGAGCAAGATGATTTTCCATCCAGTAATTCATACATATTTTGACATTAATTGCAATACCCACAATGTAACAACATTCCTCCACTTTCTGCCTTGTGTTGGTCATTTCCATTCATCCCTCTTTCCTATACTATCCTGACTTCTGAGCTTCCCCCTATGGCCCCAAGGCTGTTCTTTTGAGCTTGTATGGTTGACTGTTCTAAGAAGTGCTACCTCCCTGGTGTTAGTGTTCACCTTAATAGGCCTGTCTCTCCTATGACTGAAAGGTGAGCCATGAGGATGAGTTCAAGTTCACGCTTAAAGGATTTCTTAGAGCCATAGTCTCAGGTGGTCTCACCGGCCTCTAACAGACTAGGATGTTATCTTTTTTATTATTCTGAGTTTGGGTTCACCTTTTTCTCCCACTCTATCAATCCCTTTCTGAACTGTCAGCCATGGTTGCTGGGCACCGTCTAGTACTGTAGTAACCTAGTTTAGCATGAGGAACTCTACTTTGTTTTAAACTGCTTACAAGATCCTGCTATCAGCTACCCCACCCCCCTATCCCTCCTCCTGCTCCCTGCTCTTCTGACAGTCCTTGACTGTCCTGAGATGTCTCTGGACTCTGCCTGCCCAATTAGCAAGAAATGTAAATTGGCCTGTAAACACAACTGTTTCCCCTTTACTCTGCCAGCCTGATAAAAGTGTAACTGTATGAATATCCCTCCCCATAAGCCAGCCCACTACTCTTTTACTTTCTTTGACCAGGTTGGGAGTTTTCCAGGCCCTTGTCTTCTCTTGAACCAGCTATCCTAGAGGTTTTTATATTAATTGGTGTACAATTAATCTATCTTGGGTACAAATTTACCACAGTATGACAGACAGACAATGTTTTATTGACTACGACAAGGCATTATACTTTGTGGATCACAATAAACTATGGATGGCCTCAAGAAGAATGAAAATTCCAGAAAACTTCATTGTGCTCCTGAGGAACTTGTAAATGGATCAAGAGGCAGTTGTGCAAACAAAACTGGCTTAAAATCAGGAAAGGTATGTATCAGGGTTGCATCCTCTCACCGTACTTATTCAATTTGTATGCTGAGCAAATAAAGAAGTTAATGTATATGAAGAAAAGTGTGGTATCGGGATTGGAGGAAGGGCGATGAACGATCTGTGATGTGCAGGTGACACAACCTTGCTTGATGAAAGTCAGGAAGACTTGAAGCACTTGTTGGTGAAGATCAAGGATTGAAGTCATCACTATGGATTACAAGCCAACGAAAAGAAGACCAAGATCCTCAGGACTGGACCAAAAGGTAACATCATGAAATATGGAAAAAGATTAAAGTTGTCAATGATTTTGTCTTGTTTGGATCTGCAATCAGTGCTCATGGAAGCAGCAGTCAATAGGTCCAGTGATCAAAAGACGTGTTGTATTAAGTAAATCGGCTTTAGAGTATTGAAAGGGAAGATGATACTGTGAGGACTAAGTATGCCTGACCCAAACCAGTGTGTTTTCAGTTGCCTCAATACTCATGTGAAAGTTGGACACTGAATTAGGAAGATTGAAGAAGAATCCAAGAATCGATACATTTGTAGTGCTGGAGAATAATATAGAACGTGACATGGACTGCTGAAAGAACAAATCCATCTGTCTTGGAAGAAATAAAGCCAGAATGCTCCTTAGAGGCAAGGACAGCAAGCCTTTGTCTTGCATCATATGGACATATTGTCAGGGGAAACCCTAGAGAAGGACATCACACTTGGTAAAGCACAGGGAGCAAAAAGAAAGGCCCTCAAGGAGATGGACTGACACAGCAGTTGCAACGATGGACTCAAGCCCAGGAAGAATCGTGAGGCTGGCGCGGGATGGGGCAATACTTGGTTCTGTTGTGCATAGGGTTGATATGGGTCAGAACCAACTTGATGGCACCTAGCAACCTAAAAACGCCCATTTTGGGGACTGTTTCCTGACAGCTTAGATTTTCTTTACCCTCTTTGCTCTGAGTGCCGAGACCGATCGTTGCACCTATGACCACTCAGAAGCTTTTACGATGGCAGATGCTACTCAGCAGAGTAAGTTGTAGAATGTTATTTGTGTGGATTATGTGATGCCAAGTGAGCTTGATGTTCCTTGAGACTAGGGCTCTAAGCCCCCAGACTCAACAACTCATCCCCTCAAGGTACTTGAAAATTGTATAGCTTTGCCCGCTGTATCCTCTATATTCCTGGTTATATGTGAAGCATGCACATGAATGGGGATTTATAGTATTTGTTGGAAAATTCTAATATATTTTAGTACTATTTTTCCATCAGGTTTTTGAAACTCCCTTTTAAATACTTATATGGAAATATGGTCTGTCAAATTTATATGTGTTCATGAGTATAGTTCCATTCCCTAACCACACCTGTTTAGCTATCAAGTCTACATATCTATTGATATATTGTTACTACTACTGTTATTGCAGGATTGAGTAATAGTATTTATCTTTGTTGCCTTTAATTTTATGCCACTCCTACTGTCTTCCTTTGCCTTTCTCTTACTGTATTTAGCCTTTCCTTTCACCCAACTAAATACATGTCTACTCTTTAATGATTTGATCCGTCTTCCTCTCCCACTCCAGTAAGCTTCAATGTTTACATTTATTTCTGTGTAAATATTTTCTTGACTATTTCAAGTATTGTCTAATTTCATTCAGTGTAATGTTATCTAAGTTTGCTGATGTTCTGAGATGTTTTGCAGACTTTGTGAAGAATCAACACTTCTCTGAAAGGCCAACAACGTGTCTCTCATTTCAGTCTCTACTCAGATGTTCCAAGTTCAAAGGCTCCCTTGTCTCCACTAAAAATAACACTATTCCCTACCACTACAGCACCCCCTCTACTCACCACTACCTAACCTACCCACTAGCAGGTGTTCCTTTATCTTAGTGTCCTCGGTCACTTGCGTAGATTGTGGGCTTCACATCGGTAAGACCCAGGTGGATTTCCTGGACACGGAAGGCTGGGCCCAGGCCTGTCCATACATATCATAGTCACACGAATCAAACTTGTTGACTAAAGGCAAAGATGAGTTCTGGAGCAAGCAGTCATCCTTAGTTGACCCTGCTTGTACCCCACTATCATGCTCCCAAACTTTCCAAGTGACCTGGCATGATGTGCTATCTGCCTGGCCTTCCTTACTCAGAAATAGCAGGTTTGTAATCACCTTTTCTTACCCTGCTGCCTGAGTCTGTAGACATACTCAAAATGTTAGCAGACCAGGTTGACACCTCTAACTGCTCTTTGATGCCCAGAATCAATACTTAGGACGTTCTTAAAATATCCAGATTATATTTAAAACATACAGTCTTCATGTTCCATCTGGCCCAGGTATTATGTTTATACCTCTATTCCATTTACTTGAACCTGACACGTGGCCTTGGAATGCTGTTTCCCTCCTCTGTGGAATTTCTGAACCTGAGCCAAGTCACCAGCCCTTAGCAGCCTGCACCTGCATCTCTCTTCTCTTTCAGCTGTAATCCCTCTGACAGACTCGGAACACAAGCTGCTGCCTCTGCACTTTGCAGTGGATCCAGGAAAGGACTGGGAGTGGGGGAAAGATGACAACGACAATGCCCGTCTGGCCCAGTAAGGCTCTCCCTTATATTCCCTCACCAGTTTCTCCTCAACCAAGTCTCAAAGCCAGGGAGAGCTGGCAGGGTCTTGGGCTTCCTGAAGAGGGGTTGGATTGAGCCTCTTCCCTTATCCTGGAAGAGTGGATGGGGTGGGCAGGCTCAGGGCAGCTCGGGTCCTTTTCATGCATGCACTCTTCTCTTACCAGACTGATCCTGTCACTGGAAGCCAAGCTGAACCTTTTGCACAGTTACATGAATGTGACATGGATCCGGATCCCCTCCGAAACCCGGGTGAGCTTGGCATGTAGAAAGCCTGTCCAGTGGTGGAGCTGTAACCTTTTAGCACCTGGCTGGCTAGGTGCAGTGCCCACAAACATTCACGTAGGCAGGACTCACTTGCTCATGGGATTTCCCCCAGCCCCAGGCATGTTTGCAGCTGGAAGCCCCCTACTCACTGGTCCCCGTTATGCAGTCTGCCAGAATGTTGGCTTGAAGCACTCCAGTTGTACTTGGTCATGTGTGCACACGTGTGTAAGCATATGTGTTTGTGCATGTATGAGTGCCCTTACATACATGCATGCATATGAGCACACACAGGTGTGCACATGAGCTCAGAAAACCTTTTCCCCTTATTTTCTGCAAAAAGAAGAATAAGTCACACCAAGTTAGAAAAGAAACTTTAAATAAGTCACACACAACACAGGCTCTCTCTGTTTAAACAGAACATGATCCAATATGCTGCCATAAGCAAAATTAATTATAAACTGTGTGTGTATCCTCAACAAACTAGGGAACCAACAACCTGATTACACAGTATGTTAGGACAGAGGGGTACGGGCATGGGGTGGGGGGTGGGGGGAGATAAAGCAGATCTCAGGAAGGTCTGTGTCACCACAGCTTCCAAATATTGAGACAAGTCTACTTTAATTATTTGGCAACTGATGCTTCCATATTGTTAGTAATAAACTTACAGGGAAAGGGATGGGTTTGTGACAAACACTTTCAAATAATCGACTTAACTCATAAAGTAGGGTATACCAGTGACAGTAAAACTGACTCTGTTGCACGATGACCCTATGTATGTGGGAGAACTGTGCTCTCTAGGGTTTCCAAGAGATGAGTTTTCAGAATTAAACTGCCAAACCTTTCTTCTGAGGTGTTTCTGGGTGAGCTTGAACTTCTAATCTTTTGGTTGGCAGCTGAATATATTAATCATGCGCACTACCCAGGGGCTCTAACGTGAGCTCCCCTGCGTTGTTAAAGGCATGACTGGAGGCCAGGGAAGAGCATATGCATGTCCGATCAAAGCCCCACACATGCTTGGCACTGTGCGCCCATAGTTCAGATGTAAAGTAAATATTCTTCATAGGGCTCCGAGAGACAGGTACTAATATCCTCATTTTATTCGTGGGGAGACGGAAGCACAGTGGTTGGCCTAGGTCACACAGCCAGTCAGTGCCAGATCTGGTTCCTGGGTCCTGCCTCTTAACCTTCATACCCGCCTGGTCGTCCTAGTGCCTGGCAAGTGTTTTATCTGTAGTGATGTGGAGGATCCTCTCTGGCAGCCATGGAGGATATGCTGACAGTAACTCTAGACCTGAAAAGAAGAGCTGTCAATCTGACACCCAACCTTGGAAGCCCCTTCGTCAGTGGTAGGTTCCAAGCAGAGCATCCTGGCCGGTCCCCTGCGGTCAGTGCTCATCCCTCACATCTCTAGCACACACCCCTTCCATGTACACACTCATGCACTTTTTGTCCATGGCAAGTCAATTTGACCTTGGTAGCTCTTTCCAAACCCCTAAAAGGATGGGCATGGTAAAGAAGGAATTGTATTGGTGGGAGTCTTGTCCCCCCCTTTGCTCCTGCGTCACCTGGCAACGGGAGGCTTATACTCTCTTGGAACTGTTTGTACTTGCTGAGAGCCAGGAACAGTGGAAATAAGATTGGAGAGCAGTGAGCCATCTCCCAGGCTTTTCCTCTGGGATAAAGAAAGCCCATTCCAGAGTGAGTACCTGTGCATACTAGATACAGCTACTGACATGGGTCCCCACCCTGCACCCTAGGACACTGGGTCAGAATGCTCTGCCCTCCTTTATCAGGTCTCCCCACACACCAGACACTGGTCCTGACCATAGTCTCCTAGCAGCTTTGCTCTCCTCTGGCTAGCTTACATTAACAGTGTGTGTTCACAGAGGTGTTTCCTCCAAGCACCCCAGAATGGCCTTTTCTCAAAATAGTACCATCTGTCCTGCACAGTCTGTCCTGTTTCAGAATCTCTCACAAGTTAGCACTCTACATTGCCAGCTTGAGAGAGGAAGCCCTAAATTGCTTTGTCATCATTAAATCGAGGGGCTGTTTACATCATGAACCAACTAATGAGGCTTTGGGGCAAGCTTTCTCTTCTCTTCCTGGCGCGAGCAGAGGAAAAACCTTTCTAGGAGAGACACCTTATGCAAGAGGATTTCTTCAGCCGAAGGTTCCCATCGTTGTTTAGGGGCCAGCCTGAGATGGTATCTAATTAGACGGCAGCCTTGCCTGAACTAGATGTCTGGGGACAGTAATGTTCTCTAACATGGAATGGAGGCCTGGGTTTTGGGTCAGTAGCTATCGGCACCTTGCTCCCACTCAGATTCAGAGCATGTGCCAGACGAACAGCAACCCGAGTTCGCCAAAGACATAGCAGAAATCCGGCCCACTTCTAACAACATGACCACCAACCGCTTAGAAGCCCCTACCAGCCTAGTCTAACATTTTGTTATTGCAGCAGACCAGTACCAGGTCCAGGCTGCCCTTTGCCCTGACAAGTGGCCCTTCCCAGACTTGCAGAAACCAGAGCAGCGAGACCAAAGGACCTATAGCTAGGCTCAGCGAGACAGGGCTGGTGTGGTCTTTAAAGGAACTATTTGTTTATAGCTCTCTCCTGCTCTGATTCCCTCCCACCCTGACTGTGTTCTCACAGGCTCCTCTGGCACAGCCCGAATCCCCCACGGCCTCAGCAGGCGAGGACGTGCAGTCTCTGGCCGACTCACTGGACTCCGACCGAGATTCTGTGTGCAGCAACTCCAACAGCAATAATGGGAAGAACGGCAAGGACAAAGAGAAGGAGAAGCAGCGCAAGGAGAAGGAGAAGACGCGCGCGGACTCCGTAGCCAACAAGCTGGGTAGCTTCAGCAAGACACTGGGCATCAAGTTGAAAAAAAACATGGGCGGCCTGGGCGGCCTGGTGCACGGCAAGATGGGCCGCGCCAACTCCACCAATGGCAAGCACACGGACGCGCCTGACCGTGGCAAGGAGAAGAAGACCAAATCGCGAAAGGGCAGCAAGGAGGAGGCAGGCACGGCGGCCAGCACGTCGCCGCAGGAAAAAAGCCTGCCCTCGCCCACGGACAAGGCGGCAGGCACACCTGCGGCCGACCGCAGCGGAGGGCCCCGCGGCGACGTCTGGAAGTACAGCACCGACGTGAAGCTGAGCCTCAACATCCTGCGGGCCGCCATGCAGGGCGAGCGCAAGTTCATCTTCGCGGGCCTGCTGCTCACCAGCCACCGGCACCAGTTCCACGAGGAGATGATCGGCTACTACCTGACGAGCGCGCAGGAGCGCTTCAGCGCCGAGCAGGAGCAGCGGCGCAAGGACGCCTCCTCCGGAGCCAAGCGGCCCCCACGCCGCCCGGAGGCCGAGGGCGGCCCGG